GTTTGGTGAAACTGCTGGCCAAACTGCTGAAATTTTGGTGAAATTGAGCAGTTTGGTGAAACTGCTTTTTGCTCAGCAGTTTGGCCAAACTGCTCAGCAGTTTGGTGAAACTGCTTGCTGAGCAGTTTGGCTGCTGAGCAGTACTGCTGAGCAGTTTGGGGGAAACTGCTGAGCAGTTTGGTGAAACTGCTGGCCAAACTGCTGATGATTTTGGTGAAATTTGTTTTTTTTCATTAAGTAAATTTATTTTTGATACCAAAAATCACATGGTCATAAAAAGAAACATGGTACAATCTTGCAGTTTGTGGTCACCATTCAGAAAAAATATTCCATTTGAAGGCTTTCCGAAAAACAAATATATAAATGAACCCTTTCTTGGAATTAGGAAAACTTATATAAGGGAACCAGCAGATCAAACAACATGTTTCCAAAGACCTTGGCAGTTCTGCGCCCTACTGTTCCCAAATAAGCTTCTCCAATATTTTGCCTCTCCAATATATCTCTCCAATAGTCAGCCTCCAATATGTCTCCAATATGCCTCCAATATGTTTCCATCATGACCAAGCTTCTCCATGCTGTTTTGGCCAGCAATGTGGGCATGCAGCTAAAGCCCAACAACTTTTAGAAACAGACTTAAAAACATTGAGGCATGTTTTGGAGTTAAGCATCCCAACATACCAGGCAAAGCCTTGCAGAACACTCCATCCCTGATACCTTTGCAAATCAAAAACCATAAGGTATGATTGGCAACTATGTTAGCCTTCTTGCCATAAAGGCACCTAGCATGCTAAGAAACATCACAGCACTACAAGCACACCAGTCTTACAACACAGATTTCAAACATAAACTATTGTATTTCTCCAAGAAGTTAGCCTGCAATATTCTTGGATTAGTTAAAGTGATCCAGGTGTCCAATAGATGCCTTGCAATGGCCCACTAGTTCACCCACTACCCAGCTGCAAGCTCTTTTTCAAGGAAGATTTCATGAAATCCATCCAGGGTTGGAAGTCAGCAGCACTGATGCACCTCAGTGATGGCAGAGCTTGCAATGCAAACTGTATTTCTTCAATAGAATGTTGGCCAAAACTTGAACACAATACAGTTTCCAAAAAACAGTTGCTAAAAAGGCAATGCCACAAAAACATTGGTCTACTTAGAGTTCCAGCCACAAGGTGGATACTTCTGTTCCAGTAATTTCCCAAAGTCTTTCTGTCCAATTAGATTGAACAGAACCCCTGCAAGAAACATTTATGAAAAAAATCAGGCCCAGCAGTTGGATGCCACTATTGGATAAACCATGTTCATGTCAAAAACTAAATCCAACAGTCAAGTGCCAACCCCATCCCAGTGGCCTTGGAATCGATCTCAAACAGCAGCTCCAGAGTTGTACCTCAACTGGGCATGGGGTCATTTTCTGGCATGTGAAACAAATACAATTTCCATCTCCAATATGTCAACTCAGAGATCATCATCCCAATATCTCTCCAATACTCTCCAATATATTCCAAAGATCCCCTATATTCTTAGCCAAGTAGTTCTAAGTGACTACCACACTCCCTCTCCATCTAGTTTTTTCCGGGTTGGAAGATATCATGCAGTCCAGCTTCGGTGTAGGATGCCAGCACTCTTGTACCTTGGCTGTGGCAAGATTCAAAAAAAAGGCACTGGGACTACATCTCTTCTCCAAAAAAATCCAATAAATGTCCAGTGCAGGAGAAGAAAAAACCAATAGGCCCAAGTGCAGTGAATTCATGTTTTTGTCTCGACAATGATCCATTGATCAGCAGGATCCTGCTTTGCCATCTGTTCCTGCTCCCACTTGGACCATTTCTTTTCTTTGGCCTTGGTTCTTTTGTCCTTCCTTTTCTGTTGCTGTTTGGTCCTCCACTCATTCATTTCTTGTTCAGAATAGTGGAGAGTGTGTTGATCGCCCTTCCAAGTTCCCCAGTTGTCATCCTCTTGTGCCACTGGAGTCCTGCAGCCAAGAAGCTTCAAAAAAGAAGAGTACTGCCCCCAGTTGGGAAACTCCTGTGACAAGAGATGTGATGCAGAAACATCGGGTTCAAAGAATGTCAATGGCACTCCTTGGCTCAGCCACTGGTGCAGCCAGGTCTTGGTCTTTCCTGCTGAACTGAAGGACAGGACCACCTTTTTGCATGCAATCCATTGCCATGTGACCATCAAGATAAATGCAGTCCTCGAAGAAGCAGCATCAACTGCTGGTGACTTGCTTTTCCCTGGGCACTATTGGAAGAACTGTATCAGATGCCAGGCTGTGAACTTGGAACAAAGCAAGTGGGCATGCAAGGCCTGAAAAGAAGCTGGCAGCCTGTGCATATATCCTGCCCAACATGCTTCAAATTAATCAAGCTTCAAACTGGATGAAATAAGAAACAGTCCTGTTCCCCATGGAAGGCTGATCTGGCACTGCAGCTTCCCCTGAATTGGCTTCAGGCCTGCTGCCAAGAAAGATGAAGGAGACTTTCTTGACAAGAAAGCGTCAGTCTAAAAGGGCCAGGGAGCAAGCTGGAACCTACCAAATGCACAAAACAAAGTCCTGTCCTGGGTGCTATCTTCGGTTTCGCGACCTTCATAGACTCTTCAGTAGGGGAATTCCTCCAGCAAGAAACAAAAAACCGCATTTAACATCAAAAAAATGCCAATGTGCTCCAATAATGATGTGAAACTGCTCCAATACTGTCCTTGGCCCTTGCAAGTCGGCATCTTCCATGGCATCTGCAGACCTTTTTTTTTCCATCCTGGTGAAAGCTGGAGTTGGCCAGGCGACAAAAGGATCAGCAGCCACCAAGGCTCTGCCCAATTGCTGAAGCTGGATCAGCATCCTGCAACCAGGATGGGGGCCAAGGACTGGAGCAGTCCTGCCACAGATCTCCTCCTCTGTCTGGGTTCCTTGGTCCTTGCAGTCTGGGATGAGAATGGGGTCGTCCTGGGTCCACCACCTGAGTAGGTGAAAAGTCTCCTGAAGAAATTCAGTAAATATTTTCCAATACAAGCTTGTCCACTCCAATATGTCCTAATAGCTGCTTCCTAAATAGAAGCTTTTTCATTTGTCTATCTTGCAAACAAAAAGTGCTGCCAAGGATCGGTGAAGTGCTCTGTTTCTGACCACTGTCCTCCTGCCACCATTGGTTCCTGAGAGGTTAAGCATGACCACAACTGCTTAACACCCAAAAAGCACTTGCAAGTGCTGAATGCCAGCTGTGGCACCATATGTTTCTACCATGGAAGATCCACCAATTTACAACAATCCTCCACACATACAGGTTTGTACAATATTTGCAGCCAGACAGCCAATGCCAGTTTGGATCTGTCCATGCTAGTTCCGCTTTGAAGGGCCTCCACCAACCTGGCAAGGTAAGGCCATCCAGGCTTGTGGCCACCGCCTGGGCTTCTTCTTTCGAATTGTACCACAGGAAGGCATTGGCCCACTGGGTTTTGCTTCTGTGCCATCCTTTCCGCAGGATAACAACTTTCCATGGTCTCCTTATGTCTGAGTTCAGAAGGTGCATTCTCAGCCACTCTTCGTTCATCAAGAAAGGGATTCCTGACAAGTAGACCCGGGTCTCTTCTGCCATGGCTCCACGTGCAGTCAGGGGAAAAAACACAGACAGCCTCATGGCTTCACATGCAAACTGTGAAGTTTGCATTTTGGGCTGCTGACTCTCTTTCACATACTGTATTTTTTTCTGCATGTCACAACTTGTTGCTGTTTAGTCCCACATTTTGCTGGAACCTAAAATCGAGCCAAAAAGCCACGGTGACAGAAACATGAACCAGCTTTGCTGTCCAATATGTAAGAATAGTGCTTGCTCTCAAATATTAGCTCTCCAATATGTGTTCTCCAATATCTCCATTCCAAGACACATTCTGCAATGATTGCTTCCCCGCCAAGGCTCTCCAATAATTCCAATAGCTTACAATACCCAACCATAGCTTTCAATCTCCAATAGCTTCCAATATCTAATTCAAAATATCCCAGGGTGTTGCAGACACAAAAACAACTTTTTTTCTTTAATTTTCATTTTGCTATTGCACATTGCACAAATTTGCACACATCACTTCCATGGTGCTGATGCCAATGTGGGGTTGGCACGTTATTTCTTCAGAAACAACACATCCAAAAAACAACAACCATGTAAACATCACAGCACTTAGCAGTTTCACCATAATCATTGTTTGTAAAAAAAGCAAACCAACATAATTTTCAATCAACACAAACCAAAAGAAGTCCAACTGTTGGAAGTTATACAGTCAAACTGCTGAAATAATTTGAAACAAAACAAAGTTGGCTTATGTTGTGGCCTTAGGCTTTCACATAGTTTTTAAGTTTGCAAGTTTACTTTCCTAGGTTTTCCTAAACAGCACATGGTTTACAACTTTACTAAAATGATATTTCCCCCTTAGTATTGCAGCTTGATTTATGTGGCCCTAGTGATCAAAATGCAAGGTAGCTTTGGAGATGTTATATCCTATTCAGCAAATAACCTAAAAATAGGTTATCCTATTTGGGTATATAACCTAAAAATAGTTTATCCTATTTGAATGGATAGGATATAACCTAGCCTTTTTCTAGGTTATGCGTAGGTTCTGCATATCCTATTTGCATCCTGACTATTAGATAGAAAATAGGATATAAGATATTTTGCTCTTAATAGCCTAACCTGATCTATAGGGCACGCACGGGCCTGGCTCGCGCACGGCGCATGCAAGTTCTATAGATGAGAAAGGTCTCATATATATCTTTAAGGCAACTTCCGCCCCGCCTCGTGCGGGTACTACTGGTAACTATGAATACAATATGTATAATACAATTTGCTACTAGAGAAATAGTCATCACGAACAGGAATCAGCCAAGTGTGAAACGGAGCGGCCAACCCAACATTTGAGCATTGCCATGGAAAACCACCTGATTTTTCCACCCTTTGGAACATGTTGGAACTTTCAAAGTGCAAAGCTATGCCAAGAATTATCCAAGATTCACTGGACTGTTGAAGTCCATTGCGCAATTGCCGGCCACCAAAGCCTTCTCCGACACATTCCGAAGCCTTGTAGCCTCAGTCAATGATTTTTTAGTGGGAAACCTAGTACAAGGACCTTAATTAAACAAAATGCTTGCACATCACATCTGTGTGTTTGTTTCTATTTGTGTGGCTGAAAAACCTACCAGACGCCATGGTCACCATGGTCAACAAACATGTGCCATGTGCTTCTACAGCACCTGATGTAAATTACACAGTGAACTGTCAGGCAACTACCATAGCAGAGTTGCAGACTTGTGTGGATGATACTTCAACTATGCCTCACGCACACACAAACCTGCGTGTGTACACATGTACTGTATACATGTTAAGTATTTACGGTCAAGAGGCCAAGCAAATCTTGGAAGCCTTGTGAAGCATGTCGGATTGGGTAGCCCACAATGGAGTCGCAAATGATAAAGCTGGAGGAGCTTGACAAATGAAGCCCACCGCTATCGTTGCAAACGCTTTGCTTTGTGGTTCCGGGTCCAGTCGCTCCTGCCTTGGAAAGAACCTTTGGACGATTTCTCCTCACCTCGGTGCTACGACTGACCATGCAGGTTATAACAAATCATCCCAACTCAACTACTAAGACCCTGAAAAACGCTCCCAATTTCCGAATTGGTCAAACCAAGCCCCAATTCATGGCAGGGTCATGTGAGTTGGATGGCTATCAATAAACCAAGCTATGCTGAGAGGCTGCAAAGCCAAGCATGTTCCGAACGCTCGGGCGTTCGTAGAGGTTGGGCCCTGTCAGGCCCCGTGAATGGTGGTGGGATCCCGCGCCGACGCGACGGGGATCCAAGGGCTGAGAACTAGGTACACGACCGAAGGTTTAGGATATTTGCATCTTCCTATTCACTCAGCCTTGAGCCAAAAAGTGCCAGGGGTTTTCCAGCAGCTTGTTTACATGTTTGTTGCCGTTTTTGAGTGCTATGTTGAAATATTTAGAGAAAATCTAGGTTCCAGATTCAAAAACTGGCGATTCAACGAGCCATCATCAGAATACAAGTGTCTCAAGCGAAACAACGCTGCCAAGTCTTTCCACGACCTATCCTGAAACGGTCACATCCAAACAGTCACCATGGAATGGATCACCCAGTTCACCGTTCACCCGGCCTTTGCAGAGAACTCATCCAAGGAGTCACGATCATGAATGTTCCAAGTAGAAGGCACCACATGGAAGTAGGCCTGGAAACTCTAAGACTATCAGTCAAGAAGTGAAGCCGAACCAGCTTTTCTGGCGAAGCTCCTGAAATTTCTGAAGTGTCCAGAAAAACAGAAGTATACATAATATGAAATTAATATGATATATGCATTGCTTTGCACTACAAGATCTATAATATGATCTACATTCTACATGTTTCTACATCCAGTTGTGGGTGCCATGACAATCCTGATGAATCACCAGGCTTCATCCGGGACCTCTTGAGAATTGTAGCAATCCTCCAGCACAAAGCCGTCCACATTGGGCCGGAAACGATCCACGATCGCGCCGAAGGTCTCTTGCTGCAACATCAAAGGGTTCCAGAGCATCAACACTTCCTGGGAAGATTCGTCCCAACTATCCCCCGGTGTCATCAAACATGGCGGGTTGCTAAGAAATCCGCCAGCTGCACTGGAGAATCCCGAGTGAAATTGTTCAAAAAGCAAGTCTCAAACATGTGATGGTCTAAATATCAGCTTCCCCGTTACAGTAATGTTTAATTTGTCGTACAGCCCATTTTCAGACAAACCCAAACATCATAGTTTTGGCATGTTTTAAGTTTTGGTTATGTATCATGAAATTTCCATGATAGGATCCCAACATTTCCGGCCAAAGCATCCAAAAACTTCAGTTTCAGCAATGCCAGCACGCCTTCCTTCAGCATCAACCGCACGCCAGCCTGGAGCAATCTATAGAAATTGGGGATTTTCCACGGTCATGGAGATGATTCCCGGGTAGGTTCACCAGTTGAAGTGAACACGATCATGATATCATGATATCCCAAAGTGGTCCCCTTGACCTTGGCAAATGACCAAGCCCTGAAGGGATTCTTTCCAACCATCTGAAGGCGCATCCAAAGTATCAGGCAAAGACTACTATAATAGTCAATAGTTGATTAGCATTCCCAAGGTTATAGTCACATACGGTTGTGGGTCAAAAAAATAAACTGTTGAACCATTTGGAACCAAGCCTCTGCCAGTTTGATGACTACAGTCCTCATATCAGGAGTACTAAGTATGCAATTACTATGTCACTAAATGACTAGAACATGTACATATAAATATGTATATATATATATATATACATATGTATATATATATGTATATTTAAATATAATAGAAATAATTAGAACATGTGTATGTAGATCACATGTTCCACATTATTTGCATAGTTGAAATCTGAATATGATAAAATCAACATTTGATGGAACATATCCCAAGTGTTGACAGTAAATCCTGGTTTATGATGGCCATCTTGTTGTTTTCGTAGAAAATGTCTACAACTGCTTCATTTGGATGACCAAAACCTGTATTTCTTTAGGTTTCAGAGTCGAAACACTTTATCTTTTATGATGTCAACCCATCGGCATGTTTGATTGCTATAACTCACATGTTTGATTGCAAAGAGATGTACAGTAAAGATCCCTATTTTGGAGGGTACAGTATGATAAACATTCCACGTGTCTGCCCACAACATTGGCCAAAGAAAGGTACGCAAATGTCGGCTACTTGGAAGATAATCACGCCATCTGGCCATCTTTTTCATTCATTGCATTTTTCAGCTGCTCCGTCATGGGCATCTCTCATCAGTTCTAGCAAACGTGTGGCTGCCGTCTCGACTGGAAGCGATAGTCTGTTCTCCGGAACCACATGGCCATCTTTGATTGAATCATTGAATGCCCATATTCTTGTTGGTTTAACCGCATTTTTGGTGTTTTTTTTTCCCATGTTCACAACTTCTGACCCCACGGACGCCTCACCATCTGGGTGTTCCTTGTCCACCAACTCCAAATCTATCTCCAGGTGCCTGGACCACCAAAAACCAGCTGGAGAATGGGCAGGCCACCAAAAAAAATATCTAAAAATAATCTGCTGGTTATGGTTATTTACCATTTATAGCATAAAACTAAAGGATTCAACTACCTATCCAAGGTTGGAGATAAACAAATCATAATCAACAAAACTAAGGAATCTGTACAATATCTGGTTTTGTCTGAAAATAGGGTGCCCCCAAATCCATTGGTTAATCATGATGTTCCCTTGTCATATATGACAATCTTCAGACACACCCATATATAACATATATACACAGCAGTTCGGCGCAGCTCAATCAACATCAACCAACAAAAATCGCAAGAATGATAACCTGAAGTAACAGACATGTGGAGTTGAATCAAAGTAAACAAAAAATGGAACAACAAACACACGCCGTGTGGAACAGGAATGCAGTTATCTGAATCTTCATTTCGGGGTTGGATGACTTCTTTCAGGTGTTGCAGCATGTTATATATTGCCGCCCAAAATATGCCATTTGAGGTCGGTGGCGTGGATACTCTTCCTGAGAGATAACAGGTCAAAGGTGGATGTCCCCAAGCCTAGGAGACTCCCCAAAAACATATATACAGTATATAACATTGTATATATATATACATTTATCTTTTGATACCACATTATATATATATACATATATGTACATGTATATATATATATCTCTCTCTTTGCATCTGCAAAGTTCACAGTTTGTGGTGGGCTCCAGTTGAGTTGCTAACCACAGCCAAGGTCCAGGACAATGATCATACATGGCCCATGGTTATTCTAAACCATCAATAAGGATAGTCCTGGATCCACCGCTTGATGGTCTGTTGGGGGAGAACTCTGTGTTGGCAGCTTGTGGCTGTGAGTATAGTCAAAACCATGGTGCCACCTTTCAAAGTAAACAGTATCAACCATTTTCAGCTGTACTGGAGTGATTCTCCCTAGCTTAGCGGTGCTCGAGGAACTCAAAGCAGTTCATACCAGAGCCACCAAAATGTATCCCTTGCTGCGGGGGAGAGCCAGCATATTGTGATAAATCCTCATTGCCATTGAGGGTCATATATGATCATCAAATTTAACTAGACAAATCTAGACAACTATAAACATTCACTATACCCTCTGTTTTTCTTCAACATAGAGGTGGAAACCCATGGTGTCCTTCGGAAAAAATGATCGCCGAGATGCCGCAGATTCAGCCGATTCACATCCCAGGACGGAAGTGTCAAAAACATCCTGAGCCCGACTTGGGGCTGCGGGCCTCCACTTAGTAAATGGTGTTTACCTCCAGTTAGATATCCATGAATATCCCACATTGTACTGGGATTATATGGGTGATATCCATGGTTATATTATGAAAACCACTTATATACTGAGTGGGATGCACATCCAAGTATGTAGGCCATCTATGATTCATGGAATTTTTGGTAGATACATACGTAGTTGAATGATGATGAATAGGTCTTTGGTTAACGACTTCGAACCGGGGGGGCCACAATATCCCACACTTGTAGAACCTGGAACTTTCGGCATCAATATGGGACAAATCATCTTGCAAACATGTTCAAACTGCGATTCTCAGGTTGAAAATAACATACCATCAAGTAATCAAACATGGTTTGCTGGAAAATCATAAATTGGTAGATTTCCTATTGCCATTTTCTCCCAAGATTTTCCATTGCCACTGATTTTCCACTGATTATCAACTGATTTTCACCTGATTATCAACTGGTTATTAACATCAACAGAAAACCAGTTGATAACCAGCTGATAGTAAGTTGATAATCTGTTGATCATCAGTTGATCATCAGTTAATCATCAGTTGATCATCAGCTGATAATCAGCTGATAGTCAGTTGGTAATCAGATGATAACCAGCTGATAACCAGTTGATAATCAGGTGATAATCAGGTGATAATCAGTTGATAATCAGGTGATAATCAGGTGATAATCTGGTGATAATCAGGTGTTAACGAGTTGATAATCAGTTGATAATCATGTGATAATCAGGTGATAATCAGGTGATAACCATGTGATAATCAGGTCATAATCAGTTGATAAACAGTAGCTAATCAGTTGATAATCAGTTGATAATCAGCTGATCTACAGCTCATAATCAGGTGGAAATCAGTCAATAATCAACTGATAGTCAGTTGATAACCAGCTGATGGACAGCTGATAATCAGGTGATAATCAGTCAATAATCAACTGATAATCAGTTGATAATCAGCTGATAGACAGCTGGTTATCAGGTGAAAATCAGTTGATAAACTGTTGATCATCAGTTGGCCATCAGCTGATAATCAAGTGATAATCATCTGGTTATCAATTGATAATAGGTGATAATCAGCCGATAATCAGGTGATAATCAGGTGATCATCATGGGATAATCAGGTGATAATCAGGTGATCATCATGCGATAATCAGCTGATAATCATGCGATAATCAGGTGATAATCATGTGATAATCAGGTGATAATCAGGTGATAATCAGGTGATAATCAGCTGGTAATCAGGTGATCATCATGTGATAATCAGCTGATAATCGGCTGATAATCCGGTGGTAATCATGTGATAATCAGGTGGTAATCATGTGATAATCAGGAGATAGTCATGTGATAATCAGGTGATAATCAGCTGATAACCAGGTGATAATCAGGTGATAATCAGCTGATAATCATCAGTTGGTAGTCCGCTTGTATTCAGATGATAATCAGGTGATAATCAGGTGATAATCAGGCAATAATCAGCTGATAATCAGCTGATAATCAGTTATTCATGTGAAAAACAATTGATAATCAGGTGATAATCAGGTGAAAATCAGGTGATAACCAGGTGGTAATCAGTTGCTAACCAG